TATATATATATATGCTGGTGACGTGCAACTTGGTTGAAAAGTAATGGAATTTATAGTTTTTTGAGCGTGAAGTGTCAATTGGACCGTGAATTTTTTATGAAAACTGATGCTCTCCGCGAGAACAATAAAAGAGAGAGAGTACGACCTAGACAAAAATTTCTTTCATGCATTAAATTAAATAAATGTTATTTATTTTTAAAAGTTATTTATATTTTCCCAAATCTCCTGCAAATGCATAGAAATCTGCAATCTGGCGACAATGATTATGGTGGTTTCAGTACATCTGATTCCTCCTGCATGTAAAATTTCCATCAAACCGATGGTGTAGAATTCATCCGTGATAGCCACGGACAAACTTTCCTTTCCACTCTGCTGTACCTATTATTTACAGCAGTATTATCGTTAAAGTCTCTAAGATCCAAAGATTTCAAAACCCAAGATCCAAACCCATTTAGTTCAATTTAGTACTATCGCAATCTCGTTACTTGTCCGACCGACTTTTACGCGGAATTCCTCCAGATTCACGGATAACTGACACTTGACACACTGAAGAACTTTGCAAAATCCGAGATCGTTTGCTCTTCGATCATGCTGGTCAAACGTATTATCATTACCATTTACAGAATTCGAAAAAATTCATTTGCTGATCGATCGTCGTGGTCGATTTTCCCGATTTTCCCGATTCATGGACAACTGACTGATTTCGAGATCGATCGATATTGAATCCGGATTGAATGGTCGTTACATTTACGGCCGAGATCGAAAGCAACGCGGTGACAAGAGAATCGTATACGAAAAGTAGGGAAATAAGAAGAGAAGCGTGTGTTCCGCTTCGACGGATGTAAACGTACTCCCTGGAGTCGCCTGAGGCGGTGGGCGATCTCCTTCCGGTGAAGTCACGGAACTCCGTGGTGCACGTTCCTGCTGACGACGACGGCTGCTGCGGCAGCGATCTTTTTCCGCTGGTCCCTGGATCTCTGGCTTCGTGGCAGGTGTCACGGACATTTGCCAGGTCAACGTTGGCAGTAGTCTTTGCTTCTTTGGCGGGAGATGGCGGCGGAGACGTTGGTGGCGATGGTGATGGACTTCCTGCACGACCAGAACTGTAGCACACGGCTGCCTTCCGCAGAGTCTCCCTGCACAGCTCGGAGAACATGCTGCCTCCCCCATGGCCGTGG